TAGCATGGGCAGCGAAGGCTCAGAACTCCAGGAAGCCACTGCAGAACTCCTGGAGTGAGACTTGTAATTTCACTGTGTGCACAGCTGCACCTGTCACAGAAGCAGAGACTCCAGGTTCCATTGGGGACCTCCTCTAAAGTCTCATCATCAAAGAGCGCTGAGATGATCCTGGAAGTGAGCATAGCTGTTATGAACAGAGCTAATTTTTTTTTAATAATTTTTATTTCAATTAAAAATAATCTTATTTTACATACCAATCCCAGTTACCTCTCCCTCCCATCCTCCTATTCCCCCCACCAAGCCCCCATCCCACCCCCTACCCACTCCTCAGGAAGGGTAAGGCCTCCCATGGGGGACTCATCAAAGTCTGTCACAACATTTGGGGCAGGGCAAGTGTAGGCCCTCCACTGTGTATCTAGGCTGAGAGAGTATCCCACCATAGGGAATGTGCTCCCAAAACCCATTCATGCATTCGGGATACATCCTGGTTCCACTGCAAGAGGCCCCATAGACGGCCCAGACTTCCCAACTGACACCCATATTCAGAGGTTCTGGTTCAATCTATGCTGGTTCACCAGCTGTCAGGCTGGGGTCCATGAGCTCCCACTTGCTCAGGTCAGCTGTTTCTGTGAGTTTCCCAAGATTGGTCCTGACCCGGTTGCTCATCACTCCTCCCTCTCCACAACTGGATTCCAGGAGTTTGGCTCAGTGCTTGGCTGTGAATCTCTGCTTCTGCAATTAAGGTTCAGGCAGGGTAACCAAGATCAGAAGAAGGCACCCTGGCCCCAGCACACCTATTTCACCTTGGACAGAACTCCCTTTCACTACCTCTTCAGGTCGGGACAGCATTGGCCACTTTCAGGCCGTGCAGATGGCCGAGGATCCCAGATAGGACTCCTCATCCTGTTGTAAATGGGGTACTCTCACCCCAGAGAAGGAGGCCAGGATGAGCTCTCTATGAATTTCAAGTTCTTAAGGAACTTCAGAGACTTGGCCAGGGTCACACAGTCTTGTGACTTCAGGTCTAGAATCGGCCCCTAGCTGAGTGAGCAGGGGTTTTATAAAGGCAAACACCACAAGTTTGGTACATCCTATTAACCACTCAAACACTTACCAAGTCCTAAAAGCTATGCATCTCATTGTACTTCCACACAGTTGGAATAGGCATTCTGAAGACATAGAACTTTGCTTATGGTTTTAGACTTTCTATGAACTTATTCACTACAAAATAAGAAAAACCTATATGGCAGAGCTGACGCTAGAGAAACAGTTTTCTTCATAACCGTTTTCATGATTTACATGCCCTTTACCTGCATCCTGTCTTTCCTTATCATATCACTATATTTGTCAGGGTTCTCTAGAGTAGCACAAGCTATAGAATATATCTTTTTTGTATATAGAAACGCTGTTTTATTGGAATGACTTAGAAGCTGTGATCCAGCTAATCCAACAATGGCTGGCTAGGAACAGCCCAGGAATCCAGAAGTCACTCAATCTAGGAGACTGGGTGTCTCAGCTGGTTTTCTGTGATGCTGGAATCCTGAAGAAGTAGACTCTAATGCAGTCTAGGCTTACCGGAGAAGGGTCCAGACCTCTAACTCCTGTGCCAGCTCACATAGCGACTGCCTCTGCCTACCTTTCTCAGAATTCTCCTCATCTGCCTGTCTCCCTGCCTCTATTGGCCACAATGTTTTATTCATCAACAAATAAGAGAAACATATACACAGAAGGACAACGCCCGCCCCATCACAGGTTGGCCTCCAACTCACAGAGATCTGCATGCCTCTGCCTCTGCCTCTGCCTCTCAAATGCTGGGATTAAAGGCTTGTACCATCACCACCCAGCTATTTTTTTTAAAGGTTCTGATAGTAGAAATTACAGATGTGCCAGGGAATATTTATGGGAGATCCAGCCATTTATGTCTGACACTCTTGCCTGATTTCTTTTCTTTCTTTTTTAATTTTTCAAGACAGGGTTTCTCTGTGTAGCTTTGGAACCTGTCCTGGAACTCGCTCTGTAGACCAGGCTGGCCTCAGATTCACAGAGATCCACCTGCCTCTGCCTCCTGAGTGCTGGCATTAAAGGCATGAGCCACCACCTGGCTCTTTCCACCTTGGCGACTGCAGACCTGGGATGCGGCCTGGGGCAGGGTACCCAGAGCTGTGGGGAGACTGGTCGGGATACTCGAATCCTCTGCCTCCCTTTCTGGCCTTCTGCAGGAGCCGTGTGTATCGAAGCCATTTTGGCTCAATCCTGTCTTTTCATTTCTTTTAATGTACAGTCAATCAAAGAGCTAATGAAAAATATTTCATATCTGGTCACAAAAGTGGAGGTCACTCATACTGACATGATTGTAATTCAGATTTAAGATATGAATAACAACTCATACCAATCTTCCCAAGTAGCTGGAAGTATAGTCCTCTGCGATAGCTTTCATCTTTGATGTCACCAAATATTATTAATTGATTTTAATGATTTTTATAAGATAAAGAAATAAGGCTGAGACTGTTGGTAACATGTTACATATCTCTCTCATGATTGCTTTGACACTCTCTACTGATGACAGAGTTTCTGTTCCACTTGGTCCAACCACCCATCAGTTGCAAATAAACACACAGAGACTTATAAACTGTTTGGCCAATAGCTCAGGTTTCTTACTAGCTAGCTCATTCTTAATTAACCCATTTCTATTAATCAGTGTATCTCCATGTGATTTTGGCTTACTGGAGAATACCCTGAGTCCTATCTTCCTGGTAGCTACATGGTATATCTCTCTCTATCTATCTATCTATCTCTATCTCTCTGCTCCTCTCTGTCTTTCCCAGCATTCTCCTTGTCTGATAGCCTATACTTCCTTCCTGGCTATTGGCCAATCAGCTTTTATTAAACCAATAAGAGAAACACATATTCACAGCATACAGATAGGACATCCTTCATCATCTCTTTTCTGTCAAAATAAAAAGGTTTAAACTTTAACATAGTAAAAGTATATGTATATCAAAGCAGTTATCAAGCAAGAACTATAGTCAACAATATTTAATCCATTAACATTTGGCAAAATTAAAAGAAAATATTCTATCATCTATCCTATCTTTATGGCTCTAAAATTTTATATGTAACTTATCTTTTATCATAACTTAGGAAAACTATAACCATAACTATCTGTCTTCAACCGCATCAAAGACCACAAAAGAGTAATATATAAACTCTAGAATTGGCAGAGACATCTCACTGCCTGGACAGTCATTCAAAGTTCCTCTGTAATGTTGAGGCATCTATCTTCAGCCCATAGGTCTAGAGTGTCTGGCAGACTTCTATCAAAGCAGGAAATTTGAAACTGTCCACCTGTATTGGCAGTTTGTCAGTCTTTTTTTTTTTTTTTTTTTTTTTTCTGTGTCCTGCAGAATGTCTGGCAGACTTTTCCATGAAGCAGGAACCCTGCAGGACTGTCCCATCTTGTTTTGGCAAGTTCAACAGTCATTTTCCTGTGGGTCCTGCACATCCAGTTTATACAGCACACAGACAAACAGGCCAGACAAGAGCAGTTTCTTGCCCAGTGGCTTATTTTTGACACAAAAAGCAGGAAACTCCATGTGGAGTTTCATGGATGTCCATCATCTTCTCCAATGTACATTGATGTTGCCAGGAGCAAATGTATGTCATTGTCATGAAAATCCCTAATAAACCATTTTAGATGCCATATTCTGTAGGTCTTCAGAAGGCTTTGAAGAATGCCTATTCGTTTGAAAATGTATCTCTGCATATCTAGAAAACTTAATATAAGTTTTGACTATCATCTATAATCTGTATTTTTAATTATACATTACATTTCTAAATGAGCTGTATAAACACAATATCTAAACAAGAATAGAAATATGCCTATAACAAAATTGACCTTAAATTTATATCAATAAACCAAAATCCATACCAGTGCAAAGTATTCATTTCTGTATCATAATCCCCTTTTTTCCTTTAAAAAGAGATTGGCTGTGATCATTAACTGTTTATAACCAACTCCATTTAAATGAAAAACAAATATTCATAAAAAATATTTGGGAATTTGGGCATCTTTCATTCCAAACTGCTTCCTGTTGATTGAGGGTGCTGTCAATACCATGGGGATCCTGAGAAAACCCAGAAACCTAGCCAATTCCTGTCTGTAGTGGTCTGTGAGGCTTCATTGTCCCAGATGTCTTGGGTGTTGGAGCATCTGGATCATCAGGGGTCTTGCTTGATCAAACTATATTTGTCTAGAAGGAATCCTCAGCTGTTCATCTTCTGTGGAAACAAGAACAAAACCTTTTTTCCAAAGTAACCTGTACTTAGACTTAAATTTTTAAATCAAAGCATTTTCAAAATATATAAGTTGGATTAATTCAGCAGCATTAATAATGAAATGTCTTTTATCAGTTGTTCCTTCCTCAGCAATCAAAAATTCAAAGATTTGATTTACAGTACAGTATCCAGACTCCGCATACTTTCCATCTTTACATGATTTATGTACCTATTATTCTATTTATTTTACTTTTATTTTTTTTCCTTTTATGAGAAATGGTTTCTGTGTGTATTTTTGCCTGTCCTGGAATTCATTCTGTACACCAGGATGGCCTTGAAATCACAGAGATTTACTTGCCTCTGCCTCCCAACTGTAGGGATTAAAGGCATGTACCATCACACCAGTTACTCTATTTTTTCTCCTTTTTCTTTTCTCTTCCAAGCCTACATATATTTTTAAACACACTGTAAACCCTTCAGAAGTTTTCCTTCATCTGTAAATCTTTATCTTTTTCTGGCCACTCGAGTCGTATCTGCTCTTTAACACCACTTGGTAGTTTGGTAAAAAGAGCCTGACGCTTTTCTGGCAAACAGGGCTCACCTGAGAAAAATGCTGCTACCAAGAAGCTATGGTTGACTTTGTTCTTTTGTTTTTAGAATCGCTTTTTAAACTCTTGTCAGGTTTTATATTGAAATTCTCACCCCATGTGTAGATGACATTTGTTGACCTTAAGTTTTTATCGGTAAAACCAAAATATATACCATTGCAAAGTGTTCATTTCAATACCACTCTACACAACGTATGAAACTACTGGTACTATGAAATACACTTGGGCTTGCTACAAATATACTTCCTGGGCACGTAGGCCCTGCCACTGCTGATCCCTCTGTCACTCAGGTAGGCATATTTTCCTTCTCCTCGGATGGAATTCCTAAAAAAACAAAATTTCCACAATCTGCCATTGCATTTACGCCTGCAGAGATATCTCACGCATGTCCACTGCTTATTTACAATATGAATCACACAAAGGCAGAAGCCATGAGGGATCACCAGCACTAGTTTTACACCTGCTGACTTTTACAACTCAAGGTTCCCTTTGATGATCACACCTTTGTCATTCATCAGTGTCGGACATGTGTGTACAAAGCATTTGACTGGTGCTTGCTGCCACGTTCCAGTGAACTTCAGCCATGGGGAGCATAACAAGGGTGATATGGTGCTATATTGTTTATGTTTTATTAAAGCCACTGGAGATCAAAATAGCAAAGCAGCCACGTTAGTTAGCTATAGAAGCTAGGCAGTGGTGGTACACACCACTTGGGAAGTAGAGGTAGACGGATCTCTGTTAGTTCAAGGCCATACTGAGCTACAAGAATATATCCAGTCCTAAAGAGAAACAGGTCACACAAAGATGATCTCAGCACTTGGGATCACACACTTTTAATCCCAGAACTCATGAGAAGTATTTAAGACAGGGAACAGGGTCTCAGAGCTGGCTTTCATTCTCTATCCACATTAAGGATAGGAAGACATTCTTTCTCCAGCCACACTGAGGATAGGAAGGCATTGATTCTCTCCAGTCACACTGAGGAGGGCCAGCAGTCTGAGACTTGGTGAGAGCCTATGGAGACAGGATCAGGCCTTTCAGCCTGAGGTAGAGATAAGAGGTAGGTGCTTGGCTGCTTTGCTTTTCTGATCTTCAGCTTGAAGCTTGAACTCCAATATCTGTCCCTGGGTCTTTTATTTATCATGCTGGTTTTCAATTCCATCTTGAGTATTTTTCACAAGTGTAAAAGTGGGAGAAAATGGACCACCTAGTAAATTGCTGAAAGACCTTTAATGATGGGCATGCCTGGGGATGTGTTTTGCCCTTCCAAAGAATGAGGTCTGTTCAAAATGGCTATGCTCACGTCCAAGAGCCGTCCCAGATGCTCTCTGATTACAAGACTTTAGAGGAGATTCCCAATACCCTGGAGTCTCTGCCTCCATGAGCAGGTGCAGCTGTGCAAACAGCTTTCTGACAAGTCTTACCCCAGCAATTCTGCAGTGGCTTCCTGGGGTCTCAGAGGCCTTAGTGGCCATCAACAGTTCTGTCTACACCCCACAAGGGCAGATATCAGCAAGTAAATATTTACAAGTGGTGATAGCAGACAACATCTACCCCAGATGCCATCAAAATGCTAAAGATTTGGAGTAAAGTAACACTAAGTAAATCCAATAGATTTAAATTTGTTGGGATGTGAAGTTTACTGGGGATTGGTTGTTACATATGACACGCACAGCCTACCCAAACACACAGCTCTAGAACAGTGAGTTCTACATGACTCAGGCTTTCCTCTCTTGTAGTCACAACTCACACACATCACAACACATGAACAGAGTAGAAGGAAAAGTATTCTGAAAACATACAAGTTGTTATATTCAGTGTTGTCTGTCCACCTCCAAAGGTGTCCTGGTGACTTTCTGTGCAGGCCAATCCAGTGGATAGAAGTCCCATTGTATGTCTTCAGGAAATTCTGTCATAGAATATGGAAAGCAAATACATGTGTTGCTCTGTTTCAGATGGCCCTTGAGTCTCTGCCCTACAGCCTCCCTTCAGGATGGCAGCAGGGTATACTGAGGGTCATTAACTTTGGGGCCTAAATAAACCTCAGTTCTCAGTGTGCGCAATCCACCCATCCTTCTGTGGTTGAGAAAGTCCCTGGTTAATCCTGTACTTACAGTTATTAGCAGTTGTAGCCTTAAGTATGCAACAACTGCCAGCTCAGACAAAGAGTTACATGACCACCACATTTCTCAAATGTAAGTCTGGCCATGGAAGTTGACTATTAGCATTAAAGGAGAGAATGTCTTTGCAATGTCTCAAGGCTACAGCCAGATGTGTTGCCATCACAATTGACACATACTAACATGTGTCCCATGTCCCCCAATGACTAGGGTGGGAACCTTCCTCATGTTTCAGCTTTAAACTTTCAATCCCAAGGCAGTAAATATTGAACAGAGCAAACAACAAACCAATCCTGATCCTTTCTTACCAACTCCTCCTGGTTGTCAAATCGAGCTAGCTGGGCCTCTAGTGCCATGCAGGAGGCCTGGCTGAATGTCCAGTTTCTGATGTCTTCAGAAAAATAAAAACATTTACTTCCAAATCCAATCCAGGCTCTTGGGCAGGTGGCAGAGCAAGGTTCATAGTTCTCAATGGCTGGTTTCCCTAAAATGTGAACAGTGCCATGAAATATAATCAGAAATGTTTCCATGTCTGGTCCCTTTGTCTAGCATCTAAATCTCAATGTGGGGGGGGGTCCCTTGGGCTGTACTAACATAATTGTTCTCTAGAAGACCCCTCCTTGCATGATGGTCCCCAATACAGGGCCTTCTAGTGAGCTCTGAGAAAGTGCTTTATTTTTCTTCTTTGAATTTGTTTTTTGAAATAGAACCTTGCCACGTACCCCTGCCTGGACTGGATCTCACTCTGTGTACTGTACTTGTCTAGATCTTATAGTAATCCTGCTGGATGTGATTCCTGCATGCTGGCCTTAAAACCCCCTAAACTGTGAGGAAATGATTTCTAGGCCATCAGCTCCTCAGGACTGTTCCTGGCTCCTGGAATCCCGTGGCTTCCTTTCCCATAATCCTCCACGTTCACACTTTCTTTTGACTATAGTGTATGGTGTAAATCGCTGTGAGTTTGGGTGTGGTGTCACATAGAAAGGAGAACAAGGAAGAGTGATACAATTTGTAAGACGACAAGGAAGGACAGGGTGCAGCCTGTAAGTCAGAAAAAGTTGTAAAGAGCATTGCTTTTCTAGTTTCAACTTTACTGGTGTGTGTGTGTGTGTGTGTGTGTGTGTGTGTGTGTGTGTGTGTATATATATATATATATATATATATATATATATATTGTGGCTGATAAGTGTATAAAAATGTAAATACAGTGAAAGTCTAAAACCATAACCAAAGCTTCCTGGCTTCAGAATGGCTATATTAACTGTTTGGAACTCGAATGAGATACATAGGGTTTGGGCTTAGCAAGTGTTGGAGTAGCTATGCTGATGGATCTGTGTGATGTGTTCATTTGTCAGTCTATCATAATAAAGTGGTGTGTGTGTGTGTGTGTGTGTGTGTCTGAATGCAGCAAGGTTTCAGACAACCACTTACAAAAATAACAGACATTGTTTAATATATAACACTGTCTTTTTCTTCCAACAACAGAAGAGAACAAATGCATGGCACTTTTGAAGGGTTACTGAGGCAAGAAATAAATAATTTGATAAGAAATATTGAGTACTAGAGATGACACATACTTATTTTTGGTAGAGGGAAATTTGTTGAAGCTTTTATAAAAGGAACAATTGCAATGAGCCCTGTAGGTAACTGTCTCTTCTTTTTATCTGACTCTTTTCAGAACTACATAATAGTTTAGGTTACACTGACTAACTCTTGTTGGCAAATGTGTGTCCATGTTTAGACATGGACATGATGTCGTTAAAGTTGATATGATAGCTCAGGAATAATAGATTTCTGGAACATGCTGTTTAATATTCTCTGGCCACAGTTGAGGACGTTAACTGAAACCGTGAGTCAGGGGTGTGGAGCATCGCTGCCTTCCCCGACCCTCTCTCTCCTCACTGCCCTCATCCCCTCAGCTGCAGCAGCCTCCTTGAGGATCCTCCTTTGGGTTTTACTCCTCTTGTTCCCTGCCTAGGAGAGTTCCCGAAGGTGGACTTGTGTCTCCTGCACCTCAGTCTAGAGGTTGCTGAGTGCCATCTTCCCAGGGATGCTGAGCCTGGACTCCTGTGCACAGCACAGCCTGCGCTATCCCTCCCCTGCATCCTCCTGCTAGACCCTAAGGACAGAAGTTTCTGCTGTGCTTTCTCCAGAGCCCTTCCCACAGTGCCTGGCTCACAGTCATCAACAAGTATTCACTAACAATGGGAATGTGAACTGAATACCACAGACTCTGGAGAACGAGTCACTCACCTGACAACGACAGAGCAACAGGAAGTGCAATGGCAGCTACAGAGAGGACCGCCAACACTCCATAGCAGAAGTAATAGGAAAGCTTAGTGGGAAACACGGGGGAGATGATTTTGAGAAATTTTCCTCGAGGGTTTTTACCTGTAAAATATTTATATAAGAATGCTGACTTAGAGAATTTCTTAAGGAAAATAAAATAAACTTAGCACAAAAACTCACTTCACAATTGCCTACAAGTACCTTAAAGGGCACGGAAAACCCCTTCCAAAGAAGGCCCTGGTCCATAAGGAATGTCCACGGTGGGAAGAAGACAAGAGATGCTGGAAACAGAAATTCAGCCAGGGGTCTTCTAGTCACTGAACTAAGGGTGAATCGTGAAAGAGCAAGAAATATAAGAGTGAGGGTCACAGGGAAAGGCAACCACAGCAGTCAGCTGTATTGATCTCCATAAAAAGTTAGAAGAGGAAACAGAAACATAAGGGGAAAGAAATCACTGTAACTACACCTATTGATAGACTAAGATAGAGGGAAATAGAACATAAATACAATACACAGCAAAACTGTGTGAAAATCAGCCATAAGGGAACGTCCCACCCCTACAAAAATTATCCACTCAAAATCAAAACAGTAAATCCAGCTGCCGTCTGCTTCATTCCCAAGGCCGCAGTTAAGAATGCTTTCCCAGCTTCCAGAGCAGGAGTAGGATGTCTGCACACTACTCCAGGGCGACTTTGCACAGGAGGGCCAGCCAGGGCTAAGAAATAGTGTCCCAAGGCTGGAGAATGGCTCATCAGGGAAGGGCACTTGCTGCTCTTACAGAGGTCACAGGTTCAGTTCCTAACACCCACAAAGTAGCTTAGGATCTTGCCAACTCCAGTTCCAAGGGACCCATGTCCCTCTGCTGGCAAAATCACCCTCTATAGGCACTCATGCGATGAGCAAACATGCAGGCAAAACAGCCATATACATATAAATAAGTTCCTTAAAAGAAGAAAAAGAATTTTATTGAAAACAGATGAAAATGTCTCTCTTCACAGATGATATGCTCCTATCTGCATAAAAATTGTCACAAATCTATAAAAGAATACCGGATTTTAAAGAAGTGAGTTTACAAAACTGCAGGACAAATTGCCAGCATGGCAAAATCAGTTGCATTGTCTGTCAAATGGAAATTATTGTCTAACACAGCAGCATTTAGAGTAATGTCAAAATATATACAATACAAATCTAAAAAAAAGGTCATAATCAGCATAAGCAAAAACTACATATAAAACTATGAAAAAATCATGGCAAGCCTGGAGAGTTGGCTCAGGGGTTAAAAGCACTTGCTACTCTTAAAGAGGACCTGGGTTCTATTCCAGCACACACATAGCAGCTTGCAACAATCTACAATTCCAGTTTCAGGAACTCTGACACCTCTTGCAGGAGATTTGATGGCACTGTAAAACTCCAAGACTGTTAAAATATTTACCTTGGATCAGGGGTGGAGGCAGCAACTAATTGACAAGAATTAGCCATAGAGAGTACAATGGACACAGGAAAAAGGATAGAGAGACACACAGGAAGTGGAGGAAAGGACTTAAGAAATTTCATGGTCTTTCTGGTATAAGACATGTGGAGAGAGACATGTAAGCTGGGTAGCCACTAAAAAGGAAAGGTCAGCTGGTTCTTCCTCTACTGCCTCTGTGATCTCTCAGGTTTCACCCCAATATCTGACTCCTGAGTCTTTATTGGTAACAGAAAACTTAGATAAAAACACCAGATGCCCTTCCCTGACCTTGGTCGGAAATAGGAATGCTCATAACGAAGCTATTTATGGAAGCAAAAAAAAAAATCATATGCACAAACTTTTAATAATGAAAAAGGAAAGACATCAAGGCAGTTCTAAACACATAAGGAACTGGAACACTCAATGTTGCTCACATGTCAACATTCTTGAGCTGTTTTATACATGCAACAGCTTCACTTCCTGGGGAGTGGTTGCCTTCAAAAAAAAAAAAAGAACATAGAATCAAATTATATGAAAAGTATTATTAAAACTAAAATAAAATTAATATAGTCAAAAAACAGTCCTGAAAAAGAACAAGTCAAATTCAGCAATCATGCTGCCTAATCCATGACTCATGTGAACAGGAATAAAGACGGCCTGATGCTAGGAAAAGAGTAGACACTAAAACAATACAGGAAGAAAAATAAGACCTCAGAAATTACAGCAAACACACACGGTCAAAAGGTATTTCACAGAGATGTACAGTTTTTAGACAGGGAAGGCCGGCATGGTTCTAGTATGTATGTGCTCCTAAAGTAACCTGATGTCTGTCTGCAAAAAACAAGACTCAAGCCGGACTGTAGCTGTAGACCCAAGCACAAAGCTAAGTATTGTGCAGCCATTTAATTCTATAAAAAGCTGATGGGGTGCAGGATCTTGTCTTAGGCAAAAGTCATCTTAGATTCAAGAGCAAAATCAGTCTATACAGTAGGAGGTTGAAGAATTTATGTGTTGATGTGACTCTAATGCCTTTCTTCAGACAGGCAAACTTGTGCAGCCACTAGGAAGCTGTACAGCTGTTTGTACAGGAAGTATACAATATGGTGATGTGCCCACATATCCCCAAGCTGGAAAGGGAAGCTTACATTTAAGTTTCAAGGAAAAAAGAAAGAAAGAAAGAAACCTTTATGTTCATATTTGTAGTAGCTTTAAAGATAGCTGAAAAAAAAAGTGGAACAATGTACGTTTCTCCTGCAACTTTTCTAGGCCAAAGTTCCTAAACTAATCAGCAAACTTAAGCAATTAAAAAGCAGAAAGCCACAGAAAACTATCTCCTTCCTTCTGGCTTATTTGAAAGAAGCAAAACCAACTGCCACGACTCACTTCCTCCTGTCCCTTCTCCACAAGTTTTCGCCAGCTTCTCTCCTTTGTTTAAGATTTGATTTGAGGTGCTAGCGTACTTCTGAATTTGGAGCATTGTGCCTGTGTCAGTGGTGCTGTGGATACACACTCTCTTAGAATCAAGCCATCAGTGTGTCTGACACGGGATTAATAGACACTGCGATTCCTGAAGAGCAGCAGTATGCAAGGCATGACAAAGTGACAGAAGTCAAATGTGAAGTCTCTGCTTCAGGGATCCATTTTATGGCACTCTGGAAAAGTAAGTGTGTAAAGGCTGGGGACAGAGGTACAGGATGTGTGCATCCGGGAATGGGAAGGTGCAGTGGGGTGGGGGTCTACAGACCCTTTATAAGCTATTGTTCTACATTTATTTTTTGTGTGTGAGTGTTTTGTCTGCATTCATGTATATATGTGTACTACATGCATGCCTACTGTTAGGGAGGAATCTGGACCAGTGTTGGATCCCAGGAGTTGGAGTTAAGGGTGTGTGTGAGCTACCATATGGGTGTTGGGAATCAAACCCAATCTTATTCAAGAGCAATACATGTTCTTAAGGGTTGAGCCTCTACATGCCTTGATGAAGAATACATGATTAGATGTTTTCAAAATTCATAAAACCCTATACAAAATGAATTACTTTCACTGAATGCCAAATGTACTCTACAAAGTTTCCACTGAGTTTATCCATTGCCTTTTGCTGGTTCTCACTCCCCTCTGTCCCGCTAACAACGGAGGAGAAGGATATGTAGGACTGGAAGACTTTAAGCCCTAAACTGGGGCCTTTAGATTTTGGGTTCACAGAAAACTCTGGACCCATTCTTTATTCACACGTGTTCATTACAGCTCCAGAGCTTATCAGCATGTGAGCAATCTGGTTTCCCCTGGGTCCTCCCCATAGCTCCTCACATTCCCTGTACATAGTAAACTTTGAGAGATTTGTAAACCCTTCATATTTTGAATGTATAGGCTTCCTTGTGATTTCTAGTTCTGAATTGTGCTTTTAAAAAAAAAATCTTTCCAAATCCAGTCTGATTTTAGCTAGTTCTCTGGCTGACCAGCAGTGTTAGGCTTTAAATGCCTGACTAATTTCTCTGAACATGTCACCCAGGTCCACCCATGTTGTCAACAAAGACATCATCCCATTCTCTCTTATTGGTGCATAGTTATCCATTATATGTGGGAGTTGTTAAGTTTTGGATCCTTGGTTATTGGATATCCTCCACCACCAATGCAATAAACCTATCGACCCAAATTAATAAGTCCAGGTTTAATCTGAGCAGACCAAAGCACTTCCCAGGTGGCTCTAGGGAAGCAGGGGAGAGACCAGGTCTTAAGTGGCCTGTAGGAATAGTCTTGAGCAGCCCCAGAAAGGGAGGGACTCTTGGAAGGCTATCTGAGGGGGCAGTGTCTGGAATGGGAAGATTGAGACTGGGGTGTGGAATGCTCCCCCTCCCCCTACAACTGCAGCCCTCCAGCAGGAATATGTGTCCCAGTTTTCCACATTTATTCACTGATAGAAGCAAGGGCGTTCCGTGTGCTAATGTGAACCCTATTACAATACATAAAAAAACAAGCACAAGTATCTCTTGGAGGAGGTAGATAGGAAGGAGCCAATATTTACTATAAAGTGCCTGGTGATAAAGAGCATAGTAGGATCAGTATAGGTCACAATAACAACAGTGTTTCTAAAAATAGCTCTGGAGTTACTAATACATTGACAGTAATAAAACAATGAACACCAGTCAAAGAACACATCTGACTCTGTCCTGCAGCTCTGTTCAGCCTGGTTTACCAGTAGGGGCCTCCACTGGCAGGATAAAAAGCTTGCTGGGCATTTGGTTTAAGCAGTCAGATTTTGTCAGATCTAGGAGTCATGTGATGAAGAAGCCTACATTGTGGAAGTTCATGCCCTTACGCCTTCCCGGTATTTCTCTAACTCTTAATCTCTCCGGAGTACTTGACTTACCTGAGAAACAGTAGTCATGTTCAGGAGCTTTCTGTTTTGGTATTAGTCACATGCTCTGGCTAACCCCGAGATTATGTGATGTGGTGGTACCTGAGGGGCAGCAGGCAGAGACCCACACCTGCTGCTCTATCCCAAGCAGGGGCTCTTCCGTCTGTTTAAAGGGTCCTGGGTGGGTGTGGAGGGGACCCTTCACCTGTGCAGTGGGTGGCTCAGGACAGGACCCAGGGACTCAAGGGAGGCCTGGTGAGAAGGCCTTCCCCTTCAGTCTGTCACCCCCCAGATCAGTGTGTCCCATCATCACAGCAGGGGGACTGTGCACCTAGGGGAACTTGGTCTCATCCCCTGAGATGGCCACAAGACCCCTGAGCTAACAATAATGGGGAACTCTGTTTTTTGAGGAAATATTCTATTCCTACCCAGAAACATTAAAGCCCGGGAGGAGACAGGTTCAGTGTGGCTGCCCTGGCAGAGGAAGGACCCGGTTCCTGAGATTTTAAAAGAATGAAACATTAAACATTTTACAAAACGAGAGGATACAGTTTTAAAATAGAAGCCTCCCAATGTCCTTTTCCAATCTCTGACTGTAAAGTAAAACTGTAGGTGGATTTGCAGACAGGGTCAATGTCGCATCCCCGCCCTCCTGAAAAACCCGGGGTACAGCAATAGGACAGTGGGACCTAGACTGTCCCCTGATGCCATGGAATCACTCAGGAGTACTCCGGTGCCCTCCAGAGGGGAAGAACTCTGACAGGTGGGATGCCAGGGGGAAAAGGCCCATGGGGGGGGGGGGGTCGGGAAAGGAAGATGGGGGTGGGGTGGAGAAGGGGCACTTTAGAGGTGCACTGGATGGCAGTGATGTGCCTGAGCATGCCCAAGGTCCCCCAGGAATCCTCCAGGATTCCCAACACCGCCTTTGCTTTACAAAATCAGAAAAGCTGTTTATCTCTCCCTGCCGCAACCGAGTTATCACAATCAAGTGTGAATCGCGAGGCCTGGTGGCTACAAATATCGGTGAGACTGCGGGGAAAATGTAATCAGATGGGCAGGTTGTTCAACCCAAACTCCTTCACCACATGGCTATGGTCCCTTTAATTCCGCAGAGACAAGAGTAAATTTGAGGCTAGCTGCTCAATGCCTCCCTCTGGATGTAAAGCTAGCAGAGTGCAAATTCCTGATCCCTGAGAAGCGTGCATTCCAGGTCCGCTGTGGGTTGCTCTTCCACAAACATGTTTAAATAACATTCGAGTTATACAGAATTGCACCGCTGCATTCCTATCCACCGAAGACGTCCCCTCAGCCACGCGCTCCCCACCCCCCATCCTCCCTACCGATCTCTAGGGACCCCTGCTGAGGGCTGATGAAACTCCCTTCTCTCCCTTTAATTTAGTTAACGATTCATTAAATACGTACGTTTTTCTCTCACGGAGGCTGAGACGGGAGACTTTGCAGGTAACATTCTCATGAAGGCATTACACCACCTATGTTCTTGCTATGGCAACGAAACTCACATGAATGGAGTGGACATTTCAAATGAAACTTCAGGTGTGAGTAGGGCTTAAATCAGTTGATTTGGAAGCTCTGCCCAGCTTGCCCGCGATTTATTACCTGATGGATGACGCTGCACATATTCACCCTTTGAGCACAGAGTAATAGCTTCTTGGAGAGTGAGTGTGACACGCAGGAAATGTGTACCATAAAGTAAATGCACAGATATGAGGAATGTTTTAGATTTTGATAGTGCAAAGAGTTTTTAATTGCAGCAACTTCACGCATTTTTTTCTCTGCCACAAAGCTGGGATGACAGGGGGTGTTTCACTGCCTGTGCAAATCAGCCTAAGAGCAAAACAAGTGCAAGATGATGAGATGTAATTGCCAGCCCTTTTCTAGCCTTCTGAAAACTAAAAGTTTCTAGAAAGAAGCAGCAACTTTCACAGACACTTCTATAGGACTGATTAGCAGTGACAATAGAGGGTTCAAAAACATGTGACTCCGGAGCCATCTTCAGCCCTCTTTTTTAAAAGAATTATTTTATCTTCTGAATATTAGTGTTTCATTTGAACATACCTATGTCACCTTGTACGAGCCAGGGTGCACATCAAGGACAAAGAGCTCCTGGACTGAGGGTCTCCCTGAAGTGAGCCAGCTCTCCAGCCCCCATTTCTAATCCTCTCAATATCTGTTTATTGCTAATCTCTGCCTCTCACCTCTGTGACCATGAGGTAACTCAGAAAGACTAGCTTTCTTTGCACTGTATTAACAGACAGATAGCTCCCACAAACCCAAAAGCTAAGAGCATCATCAGGGACCATCTGACCCCTGTAACAAAGGCACCCACTTTGCTGTAACTGCCTCTCTGCTGTTTCCAACAATGTGCTTGCAAAGTGTCTTCATGTGTGACTTCCTTTGGTCTGTGACTATAAAGACTCCATTACCACCTTGGAACATGGAATTTGGGGTAAAATCTAAAGGAGAGTTCCTGGGCCACGGTCACTCATGTTATCTCCAGAGTAAACTCTTATCCCCCTTTGATGAGAGAGTTGTGTTTATGCACACAATGGGCCTTGTCTGTCTGGGAACAGGATAGGAGAGCACATTCCCACTGTAGGAAGAGTGAAGCAGAGAAGAGGTAGGCCAGATGTCAGCAGGGTGAGGGTGCTTTATAGGAATCGAGTAGGGCCCAATCATTCCATGTCATAAAGGTGGAAGATTGAGAACATTTAGAAGAGCTTGAGGAATATGTGTGTATCAGTGTGATTGTGTGTGTGTGTGTGTGTGTGTGTGTGTGTGTGTGTGTGTGCTTACCAGAAAATAACAGCTGTATTTACAGTTTCATTGGAAGCAGGTAGGTTTTGCTCACTACCCAGGCATATTGCTCCTTCAGATATGATTAAAATGTCACTATGGGGTAAGCAATTCCTTCTGGCCTGCCTGTGGCTACAGCTCACTGCATCCTGACTCAATTCCTTCTGACCTGAGTCTCTTATTCAAAATATCCCCACTCTCGTAGGGTACAATTAAAAATACTGTAGAGAAGTCCTCATTTGCTGGTTGGTCCCAAAGGAGTGGGCAAGTTGAGGATGCTTCCAGGTTATATAAAACCCCCTAGTCTG